TACTGTATGTTTTAGTCCTGAGCACGAATCTATTCTAAATCATATATTTATATATGTCACTGGAACATTGTAATCATATATTATAATGTTCCAGTGACACTGAGCAACACTTACTGTAAAAATATAGCACAGCACGGGACAAAGGTGGGTGAGTTAGGTGCAGAAATCCCCTCACCACCAGTGCTGCAATAAACAAATACCTGCTCCATAGACACTGGTCTGCGGGGATTTATTTCCAGCCTGTCTTTCGGGCATCAGCCCAAAGGGATGGAATTTCCCACCCAGGGTCCCCACCGAGCCCCAGTTTGGATGTGCAGCCCCCAGTTTTCCCAGTTTCCCTCTCCTTTTCCTTGTGTGGGGCTCCCCCCGCCCGCAGCGGCTGGGAGCAGCCGAGAGCCCCGCGCTGCCCATCCCGACCTGTCCCGGCTCCATCCCTGCTCCTCCCGCGGGCTGCGAGGGCTTCAGGAGCGGGGCAGGAGGAAGGGGGTGGCGGAGCGGCGATGGAAGAGCAGCGGGACAAGGGCTGGAGGGATTCGAGGGGGAGGACGAGGGGTGGAGGAGGAGCAGGAAGCGGAGGAGGACGGGAGGAAGAGCTGGGATAGAGGAGGAGGACGAAGGGGGAGCAGGGGGACAGCGCGGTCCAGCCCTCGCTGTATCCGCAGCCCTCCCGCCCCCGGGGGCATTGTCCCCCCACCATGTCGCAGGTGACCGTGGAGGGGGAGCTCGCCCAGATATCCTGGGGGCTCCGCGGGAGGGTATTTTTAGGGGGTTTTATGGGGGAGAGAGAGGGGGTATTTTTGGAGCTTGAAGGACTCCAAATGCCCATTGGGGAGATTCTGGGGGATGCCCCTGGAGGTTGCTTTTTTGTGGGGGAGGGTGGCAGAGCGGAGAACACTGGGACACCGAAATGTGCAGCCCAGAGAGTGGAGACCCGCAGGACTGAGCCCAGAGAGGGGAACACCCTGGCGAGGGGGAAATCCTGGAGCTCCCCACAGCCTGGAGCAGAGTCAGGGGAAAGGGGAGCACTGGGACCCCAAGAGCCCCGGCATCGCTAGGTGGGAGCCCAGAGAGGGGGATCCAGGGAAGCCCCTGGAGCTGCAGGGAACCCCCAGCAGCAGAGAGAAGGGGGAGCCCCAGAAGCCCAAGGTCAGAAGAGCAGAGAGGGGGAACCCTAGGGATTCCTGGGACCCCTGACAGCCTGGAGAGGTTGGGTAACCCAGAGAAGGAAACCCTCAATATACGCAGGTTCCCCAGAAGTCCAAAGTGGAGAGACCATAGAGGGGGAACTCCTGAGAAGATTTTTTTGGAATGATCATGAACCATTCAAGTCTTGAGGGTCTCAATCTTTGTATTTCTGAGTATTTTTTCAGCTAAATCTTGCTGATCTGAAGGTTTTTATGGATACAAAATGTCCGGTGACTTCTAGAGTCACTTGGGCAGAGAAAATCCCCAACCAAACACTCTCACAGCTTGTTTTCCCCCAAACCAGGATTTCTCATTCCTAAACCTTGGCTGGATGGATGAGCAGGAGGCCGCGAGGAAGAGGCCCCAAGAGCCCCAGGTAGGTGTGGAAGAAGTCACTGCCCCTTTCCCCCCTCTCTCCTGCTCCATCTCTCACCCCTGCATGGCCCCTGGCTGCAGGATAACCCTGCTGCCAATGCTGTCCTGCTGGGGATGCATTGGAGAGATGATCACAGCCCCAAGGCTGCCAGAGCTCCAGGAGCATTTGGACAATGCTTCCAGGAACAGGCTGGGATTGCTGGGATGTCCTGTGCAGGGCCAGCAGTTGGACTTGATGACCCTTGTGCATCCCTTCCAATTTAGGATATTCTGTTATCCATTGAAAATCCCTGGAGGAAGTGCCAAGTGCTAAAGCACCAAGGTTAATTCCTGGCTCCTGGCTAGGAAGCAGACACCAGCTGCCTGCTTTGCAGTTAGAAATCTCCATGAAAGCGTTTTGGGTTTCTATGTGCTGAAAGGTGGCACTGCCTGCATGGCAGTGTGTGGGCCTTCAGTTCAGCACTCTTTGTGTCTAGAGTTGAGCCAGGAATGTGCCATGGTGGGGTGCTCCTTTGCTACAGTCACTCCTGTAACTGGGACCAGACTTGCAAGTGTGGGGAGCAAGCTCCAGGTCCAAGCACCATCCCCTCAAACCACAGAATATTAAAGTATCTCCTCAGGAGTCCCAGGGGGGACATGGCAACACCCCAAAAAGCCCCCCAGATTGTCCATCTGCCCTCCCCAAACCAGCCCACATTCACCCTATAACCCATCAATCCCCAAACCTCTCCATCACCTTTCACCCGTCATCATCACCCCAAAATTCACCACCCCATAACCTATCACCCCATAACCCATCACCCCCATGATCATCCATGATCACCCCCACCCTCATAATCACCCCTAGTCATCACACCTCAGCCATCAATCACCCCAAAATTCATCACCCCCACCTATCACCCCATAACCCACCACCCTCCAAACCATCCCTAGAACCCCACACCCACCATCATCACCCTAAAAATCATAGCCCCCCATCTTTAATCACCCCAAAATCCATCAGTCCTCACCCATAATCACCCCAAAATCCACACCCCACCCCATAACCCCTCACCCCCCAATCCATACCCCCTCACCTGCCCCATTCTGCACCCCCAGCTCTGCCCTGGCCCTGCTGTGGCTGTGTCCCCTCCTCCTGCCCACAGAGCACAGGTACAGCTGCAGGGGTGGCCTCATCCTCTCGTGTCCTCTTGGGTCCCTGCAGCTCTTTGGGCCCCTTGGAGGGTCGGTAACACCCTCTGAAAGAGTGACCGGCGCGTGCTGGCCTTGGGGACATCCCTGTCACCTCCCCTGTCACCTTCTGTAGGAGCATTTCCAGCCCTGCAGCCACACCCAGCGCCGCCTCCTGGGGACCCCCCCACTTATTTAGAGGTCCCCTCTGGGGAAAGTGGCAGTTGCAGTGCACCACTTGTAGGTCTTCAGTAGGGCAGGGGGCTCAGGGGTGGCCAGGGGGGCTTCCACCTCCATCAGTTCTGGGGGGGAGTAGTTTGGGGGGTTCAGAGGCTGCATTTAGGGGCTGGTGGGATGGCAGGAGTCATTTTGGGGGTTGTATTTGGGGGTGGTGGGATTGGGAGAATAATTTTGGGGGTTGTATTTGTGACTGATGGGATACGGAGAAAAATTTGGGGGGGCTCCAGGGCTGCATTTGGGGGTGGTGGGACACAGAGAGGCATTTTGTTGTTGGATTTTGGGTTGGTGGGACAGAGGAGGCATTTTGAGGGCTGAATTTGTGAGTGATGGGATGGGCAGAATAATTTGGGGAGGTTCAGGAACTGGATTTTGGGGTGGTGGGGGAGGCACCCCCAACCTGGCATCCCAACGTTGAAAAGTCCCAATTGGTGGGGTCCCAAATCCCCAAGGTGTCCCTGCCCACCCAAGGACCCCAATTTTTTGGGTTGTCCCACCCACCCAGGGTGTCCCCACCCAGTGGGTGCCCACACCAGCTACCCACAGCATGCCAGTGGCCAGCTGGGATCCTTCTGGACCAGTGTCCATCCAGAGTGGGATCCATGGCTCCTGTGTCTGTGTCCATCTGCACCAGTGTCCAGTCTCTCCTGCCCCCGTCCATCCCAGACTCCCCGGCTGGGACTGCTCCTCCCTGCAGAGTGGACAAGACCCATGGTCAGTCCCAAGATGGCCCCAGACCCTCTCCCACCAAGCCACCCACCTCGAGCTCTGGTACCACTGGTGTCCCCTGGAAGCCGGGCCAGCTCTGGATCTCCTGGAAGAGGAGATCCAGAGTCTTGGGCTGGGGACTTGAGGGCATCCAGGATGGTGAGCACCGAGTCCATGTGGTGTGGGGGGACAGATAGGAACACAGCTGGGGACAGGCCTGGGGGGACATGGGTGGGGGTGAAGGGGTTAAGGGGCAGGGAGAGGGTTAGAGGGTGGGATGCACCCAAAAATTTGCCAAAGTCAAAGGGGAGGGCACCCAAAACTGGGGGAAAGGATGGGAAAGACAGGAAGGATTCAAAATAGGCGGGAACAGACCCTAAATATGGGGAAGTGACCCAAAACAGGGAAAGGACTTGAATGATGGGGAAATAATCCAAAATAGGGATGAAAGTACTCAAAAAATAAGGAGAAGGGATCCGAAAGAGGGGGAAAGGTCCCAAAGTTCGGGGGAGGACGCAAAATCAGAGGACAAAGAGTGTTGTGGGGAGTGTTGCAGGGTGCCATGGCATGTCCCTACCTGCGGCAGGGCAGGCACAGATGCTCAGCGCCAGAAGCAGCCACGGGAACATCCTGAGGGTCACAGGGACACCCTGCAGGACACAGGGACACCCTGCAGGACATGGCCCTGGGGCTTTGGGGACTTTGGCCCTGCCAGGGGCAGGGGACAGGGACATCGGGGGAGGGAGAGGGGCACATGGAAGGGTTCAGGGACACATAGGGGAGATGGGGACAGTAACTCACAGCGGGGACAGGGACACGCAGAGGGGTAACAGGGAGCCACAATGGGGAAGGGGGAAAAAGAGAGGGGAGGGAACGCAATGCCACCAGGACACACATCAGGGGACAATGTCACCACAACTGTATGGACACTGCCATCAGGACGCCTCTGGTGACACCCAGCATGAGGCCACGTGGGCCCCCAGGTGACACTGACCCTTGCCCTGTCCCCAGTGGCAGTTGGGGCCCCCTGAGTGCAGTGGCCCTGGGACACCCTGGTGGCTGTCACTTGCTTTCAGGACACTTGTCACCAGCTGAACAAGGTCCCTGTCCTGCCCTGGTGGGTGGTGACGTTTGGCTGGGACACTGCAGTGGTGACAGTGGGGACATGGTGGCAGGAACTGCAACAGACTGTGCCTGGCCATGGCTTACAGGAAGCTGCTGGTGGCACAGGTGGTGGCACTGCTGCTGTCCAAGTTCATGTCCCCATCCATGTTTCCCATGTTGCCACCCATGTCCATGTCCCTTCATGTCCCCATCCATGCCTTAGTTCAATGTCTTTATTTTTACCCTGGTTTCAGGGCTTTCAAAGGGATGAACAAAAACCATTTCAAGGCTAAAACAAAATTATTTCTGTGTCCCTGCCAGCAGAGCATCCATGTGCTTGAGTGGGTGGGAAGAATCTTTTTTTGGAGGTGTTTCCACACGTCTCAAAAATCAGAAGTTTTACCACAGTCCATCCCCATTTGGCCATAGAAGATGCCCGTGGGCCAGAGAAAATTAAAATAATGGATTTATGTTGGAAGAAGACCTCTAAGGCTATCCAGTTTTGCTATGCCACCAGAAGATGCAAAAAGATATTTTTCTGGGGTCAGAAGTAAACAAATCAGCTCTCCACAATGGATTTCCGATGTTGGCCTGTGGATGTGCGCAGGTGCCCATGGGGAGCCAGGAGGATGTGAAGCCCCAAGGCAGGCGTCTTCCCACCACAGATCACCGACACCACGGATCACCGGGGCTCTGCCCACCAGGGCTCACTGGGGATCATCCAGCATGGATCCTCCTGTGGGGGATGGAGCTGGAGCAGCACACAAAGCTCTTTCTGCACTGGGGCACTCATAGGACTTCCTTTAGTGCTGGCTCTCTTGGTGTCTGGTCAAGTAACCACTCTGTGAGAAGCTCTTCCCACACTCAGGACACCTGTAGGGCCTCTCCCCAGTGTGGATGCGCCGGTGGGTGACGAGATTGCAGTTGCGGGTGAAGCCCTTCCCGCAGTCGGGGCAGCGGAAGGGCCTCTCATCTGTGTGAAGCTGCTGGTGCAGAATGAGACTGGAGCTGGTCTGAAACGTCTTCTTGCATTTATCACACTCGTAGGGCCTCTCCCCAGTGTGGCTCCTCTGGTGGTAGATCAGGTGGGACTTTGACATGAAGCTCTTCCCACACTGCCCACACTCGTAGGGCCGTTCCCCCGTGTGGCTCCTCTGGTGGACAATCAGTTCAGACCTCGACCTCAAGCTCTTCCCACACTGCCCACACTTGAAGGGCTGCTGCCCTGTATGGATTGCCAAGTGGCGGGTCAGGTGGCAGCTCTTCTGGAAGCTCTGCCCACACTCAGAACACACATAGGGCCGTTCCCCAGTGTGGCTTCTCTGGTGGATGGTCAATTCAGAGCTCGTCCTGAAGCCCTTCCCACACTCTGCACACTCGTAGGGCCGTTCCCCTGTGTGGCTCCTCAGGTGGGCAGTCAGAGTGGAGTTCTGGGTGAAGCTCTTCCCACACTCGGGACACTCATAGGGCCTCTCCCCAGTGTGGATGCGCAGGTGGGTGACCAGGCCGGAGTTGTTCCTGAAGGTTTTCGCACAGCTGGGGCAGTGGAAAGGCTTCTCCTCTGTGTGACTCTGCTGATGCCTGACAAGACAGGAACTCATCTGAAACGTCTTCCTGCATTTATCACACTCGTAGGGCCGTTCTCCAGTGTGGATTCTCCAGTGGCGCATCAGGTTGCATTTCTGGCTGAAGCTCTTCCCACACTCTGAGCACTTGTGGGATTTCTCTCCATCATGAAGCTGCTCGTGGACCCCTAGCTCCGAGCTCTGGCTGCCTCCCTGGCCCAGGTTGGGTCTTTCCTCCTCGGATCCCCGTGATCTGTGTTTGCAGCCCCTCCTCATGTGGGATCTCCAGGGCTTTTCCTCCCCATTAGATTCCCCTGCTGTGGAGCTGCTCAAAATGGCCTCTTCCACGAGGTTCTGCCATGGGGATTTGTCCTCATTGGTCTCCATCCTCGGCTCCTTGTCTGGGGGAGGTAGGACAAGGAGAGGATGAGATTTGCCTCTGTGCCACAGGGAAGGGCAAGGAGATTCCCCCAGTGTGTGCCCAGCAGGATGGTGTTGGCACCAGAGTTGTCCTGCAGCCAGGGGCCGTGCTGGGCTGGGAGATGGAGCAGGAGAGAAGAGGAAAGGGGCAGCGACTTCCTCCTCACCTGCCTGGGGCTCCCAGACTATCTTCCTCTTCCTTATGGCCTCCTCCTCCTCCTGCATCGGGCCAAGGTTTGATAATGGAAAATCCTGATCTGGGATGAAAGCGAGGGATGAGCCCGTTGGGTTTGGTGGTCCCGTTGCCCCAGAAGTCATCTCAGCTGGAGAAGTCAACGCCCCTTTCAGCCTCCGTGGCCGCGAGCCCGCTCATCCCCACCTCCCCCGCCCGTCCAGGCAGCGGGTTTGTCCCCCGCTCCGGGATCGCCGCTCTGCGCGCTCCCCGCTCCGGGGCTGCCGCGTTCCCCGGCTCTCCCGGGCATCCCCAAACCCGATATCGGCCCTGTGCCCGCCGCTACCGGGCGATCGCCACGTGGGAAGCTCCAAGTTCCCTCCAGGGGCATTTCTGGCGCAGCTTTGGGGTCCTGCAAGATCCAAACATCCCCTGCCCCGCAAAAAACCCTCCCGGAGACCTTCCCGATGGATCTGGGGAGAGCTGCCCCTCCCCGCTCACCTGTGGGTTCGAGGGGGAGCGATACTGGTGGACCCGGGGCAGCTGCAACCTGAGACGGGAAACAGCGTGGTGTTGGTGCTGCTCCTGCTCCTCCTCTTCCGTCCCTCCTCTTCCTCCCGCTCCGCCTCCGCTCCCAGCCCGGCCCGGGCAGGTGCCGACACCCAAAAGCAGCCGCGCTCTGCCCGGGGCGGGTTCCAAAGCGGCGCCGGCCCGTGCAGC